GGGGGGGGGGGGGGGGGTCTCGCGTGCACTTCCGGCGGTGTACTAAGTCGACCGCCTTGTATCGTTCGGCTTCGGCGAACTTTCCCCGAAGGCGAAGTCCAATATTGAAAAGCGCTCGGAGCGATAAAAATTTAGATAAGAAGTTTGCGAGCCAGCCAGGGCAGCCTTGGAGAACGACGGAGCCGTAACGAAGTTATTTATATGGGGGAACAGTAAAACCGTATTAAGCGTTAGTACTTTTCTGCATGATGGATCGATCGACAGCGTCCGCCCTCTTTGCCTGGGAATACGGGCTTAGAGGGATGATAAAGAGAACGGTGCAGTGGTCGATCCTCACTGTACGATACGATTCTCCCGTAAAGTCTTATGAAAATTTCTCAAAAGTCAAGCGCGTATCCTAAAGTCTCTGAAGAGAGTCCCATTCAAACGGCAGGCGTGTGTCTCTTACCCAAAATGCCGAGTCGGAAGTTAATCGTAACGAAGACGACATTGCCATAAGCCGCCAATATGGTGCCGTCGTAGGGATTGCCGCTATTCCACTTATCGCCGTGGATGAACACCATGACCGGGTATTTTCTTAGAATTCTCTGATCTGAAACAGAAAGCAAATTAAACACTATAAATTCTAGTTGACGTAAATACGATCATATCGTGAGGTACAGTAATCTGTCCATTGCCGCGTAACATTTGATTGTCTGGTTTTCGTGATCATTCTCAGCTTGTCTGTGAAAGCTCTATCGTGTCGATTGTAATGTCAGAATGAACGGCGAAATTTGCATTTAACTGTGACTTTTTGGCGATATTTCACCGTTTGCAGCGATGGCAATGTTTTAATTGCATTTAAGAAGCTGCTCTCGGATATTATAGAGAACACCCTTAGAGAACACCCTTAGAGGATCTCTGATTTACATCGGCGGAAAAATTGTCGCCGGAGTTTGTTCGCGAGAACGGGGTTAGCACGGGATTAGTCCCGAAATTTATATCACCCCCTCTTTGCAAACTGTTCACACAGTTAGTTTTCGATATTAGAGTAACTATAAATTCTCCCCACCCCGGCTCTCGAGCGACGTAATTTCCTTTTAGCATGCGATCTGCAAATTAGATCGAGGCGAGAACTCGAGGGACTTATCGAAAAATCCGTTCCGCCGAACTTTCTGCTGACAGCTGAATATCGTGCGCGTCACGGATCGCCAATAAATCATTTCACTTTCAAATACGATCGCCCACATATAATCGTGTCGTCATCCGCTATAATTACACATAAAGGAGAGGCGAAGTAACTTTTCATGTAAATAACTTTTTATATTACGTAACTTTCCATGCAAATTTAAAATTCAAACTTCGATTCGCGGGGTTAAACACTCTCAGTAATTTGCTCTTCAAGTTCTCCAGTAGGGAAAACGGCGATGAGTTACGACTTGTATCATCAGAGGGACACATTAGCCTGTAGAAACGCTATATTTCGAGATTTACTGACCTACAAGTTCGACGATATTTGCGGGCTTAACGTGGAATCTAAATCTCGACTCGAGTTATCCCGAGATTTAATTAACAGTTTCAATTATCACCCCGACGGTGGCGGGGGCCGTTCGTCGAACTAACGTATCTCGTATTTCCTCCGAGACGTCCCATAGAACGCTGCACTCGATACATTTCGATAAATCAAGACATTCGGTCGTGACGTTGGATTTTCTTCCTTTCAACGAGCTATAACTCGTCCCACATTTTCCGCGATGGGATATCAACTTAATACCCTTTTGTAAATTTGTACTCGACTAATCTGTCGTTCATTATCCAGAGTGTACAAAATTATGGAAGAACAGAAGAATGTGAAAAATGCCTGTGAAACGAAAAATTACTGATTACACAGAGCTTTTTCGAAGTCCATGATATTTGCAGAACATAAGTGACATCGTGATGGACAAATATTCCATCTCGCTTCTCTTCCACGAATAACATCGCGACGCGGAGTTGCTACACAATCGCGTCGATGCTCACGTTGTCCGTCCGCTGGGTCCTATACATCATAGCGATCTCGAACCGGAACAAGCGCCGGGAGAACAAGAGAAAGCGACAGGGACACGCGATCGCCGCGAAATTTACATGAAAATTGAAAGGCGAATCGATCGATGCGTTCCGCATAAAATTGATGTATCGCGAATCATGCGCGGGGATATTTTCATCCTGCGTCACGTGAACGCGCGCTGCTCGCGCGCGCGCCAGCAGCGGAACCACCGCCGTCATAAATCACCTAGCGTGAATCTATATCCTAATAAAAGGAAAACCATTTCTCCGCCCGAGCGATGGCGTATTTTGCTCTATAAAAAAGGCACGCTCGTAACTCGCGCGAAACGTCTGAATTCGCCGATGCGAAATGCATTTTCATTTGCCCGAAAACAAAGTACTATGTTGCCGTGAGAACTTATTAAGAAATTTAAAACGTGCCGCAGAAAATACAAGCATGCTGGTGGGAAAGACACATATCAACATAGGCATAACACACACAAAAAAACACATACTGAGTAAATTTATTATTATTAGTTACTTGTTTTGAGTGTTTCATTAGTTAAGGAAGTTTGTGCGAAAAATATTTTAAATCTGTGCTAAATTAGTTAAAAATGGTTTGAATCTCGGCTAAACCGAGAGAGAGAAATCCGGCAATTTTAATTAAAATTTTAATAAAATCGGCATAGCTGAGTCACGAATAATTCTAAATTTCTTTAACCGAGATTCCAATAAAAATATTTTAAATCTATGCTAAATTAGTCAAAAATAATTCGAATTTCCGTCAAACCGAGAGAGAAATCCGGCAATTTTAATTAAAATTTTAATAAAATCGACATAGCTGAGACACGAATTATTCTAAATTTCTTTAGCCAAGATTCCAACCTAAATATTTCAAGTCTGTGCTAAATTAGTAAAAAAGGTTCGAATCTCGACTAAACCGAGAGAAAAATGCGACAAGTTTAATTATAATTTTAACAAAATCGGCACAGCTGAGCCACGAATCATTCTAAATTTTATTAGCCGAGATTCCAACCAAAATATTTTAAATCTATGCTAAATTAGTCAAAAATGGTTCGAATCTCGGTCAAACCGAAAAATTATTTGTAAAATAATTTTTTTCAACTTTTTACATGCTTTTTACTTTTTGTTTAAACATTTTATTATTTATACAAATAATTTTATACATTTGACCTCATATTCATAATCAGCAAAACTAAAAACGTCTATATCTTGTATTCAATTTTATTTCTTATGCATTTTTGGTGCATTTGTTGATGATAAGAGTGAGAACATTAAAAAGCTATAAATTGCCCGTGAAACTCAAAGTGGGCCAAAATGAAAAATACGATCTAAATATTTTTTGTACTTCTACATTTGTGTCAAATTAGAAAGAAATCTAAGTGTACCTTTTAAGTAGGTTTACTTATCAGTAGCGGACAATATTCTAACTCTTCTTGAGGAACTTTAGTCGCTGTCGCGCGCCATAGCGATAACGTCGGGCTCGATCGAGAACGCAGATTGATACAAGCGTTGATAACTCAACTTCTAGACGTCGTAGCGACTCGAAACGAAAACTGTTGGAAAGGGAAAATCACCGCGCTTCTGATAAACGTAAAATCATTTCTTTACGAAATGAGAATCAGTTACAATAGTTACGTAACTGTGGAAAATTATTACTGATTTTTGTGTTCGCGTTATAAGGCGAAGATTAATCTGTATTTAAAATATAGAGTATAAAAATTAGAATTCTCGGGAAAAAAGAAAAAATCTCTTGCTTCTTGACAATGTAATTATTTGCGTATTAGAAGATTGTCTTTTTTCTTTTAATTTTCTCGAACACGGCGTCGCGTTCACGACTTATTTAGAAACGCGAGTGTGTTCCTGAAGTGTTATAATTTACTGTACTTTTCGTTAAATCGTGAAACACCGCTTAAATGAACGCAGTAGCGGGTGCAGTGAAGTGAAGTGAATGCACTGCACTTCACAAAGGGTAACGATGCAAAATAATGTCAAACAGACTGAGGTTAATGGCATGCAAAATACGCGTTTATAATAATATATATTCTAAAAATTACCTAATACAAACGAAATAATAAAAAATGGACTGATACAGAACACTATTATCGCGCAATGTGTTATAACACGAGATTCAACGACATATACACACATGGCGCGCGCGTCATCGACGATATCATATTGATTCAAAGCCAGAGTGTCCAAATCCGGCTTAGCAGTGGTGAAGGCCACTGCAAAAAAAATCAATTCCCGATATACAGCGGTTTTTATCGCGGGGCGTAATCATTTTTATCGGTGCGTCGCTTCTAACTTTGGCACGAGATAAATATTTACAGGGTGCTGTGCGCAGACAACGCCGACCTCGTAACTCACGGTGCCCCGAAGAGCCGACCTTCTTCCAATCGGTTCGCGTGCTCGTATAAATAATGGATTTACAGCCCCTTTACGTCGTCTCGATATGCCCTGGAGAAGCTGGTTGACGCCCGAGCGAGTGTCGCGCCGATAATGGCGCAGTAAATCAACGAAAATCTCCCTAAAGATCGACTGACGCTCTTTCCTTTAGTTCTCTTCCTTTCCCCGCCAGTAACCTGGAAACAGCTTCTTCCGCGAGCGAGCCGGAAAGGGGGTAGATAAACCGCCCCAGGACGCGGAGAACGGAAAATGCGTCAGGCTCTGCCATCTCCTGGAACTCGCTGGAAACCCCTGGCAACGCCGTTTGCTGCACTCCCGTGCAGATGTCGGCACGAATATTATTTCGTTCGGAGCTGGAAACGATGTCATTCGTGGAAACTGTCGCGTGTACCTCCGCAAATCGATACATTCGAGCCCGCATCCGCGAACCCGCCATTTTTGACCGTCTTCAGCTAAGTGAAATCGTGTGCCGTGATCTTATGAAATTATCTAACATCAATCACTAGTATAACCCCTCCGATGAAACATTCAGCTGACCTGCTAATCATTGCTTCTTATCGTTCTTAAATTGGATCGGAATTGAAAGTTTTGATTCAACGAAAAATTAATATCCGGCGTTATCGATAGAAGGAGAAATTTCTCAAAATCAGATCGTGGTGGTAACATCGAGTAATTCGAGAATTTTAGCAAATTCCGTGGGAAATTCACTGTTGCGAAACCGTGAATTAGTTCAGCGTTAAACGTTTCCACGTGTAAAACCGTTCCCCCATTTGCGCGACAGTTTTTTCGTCGCTCTTTTCGGCACTCCGGCTTCTCGGCGGCATCTCCGGCCAATGTCGCGGCCATTTTTGGATACGAGCGACGGGGATTCCCGCAGTTCCGCGTAACGGACATATCCGTCTCGCTCGGGCAAAGTGCGGACTCGTGTCGGCCGTTTTTTGCGAAATCGCGCGAGCTACCGGCTGAACGCCAGAAATCGAAGGAACGATAGGACGTGTACCGACCGCGACCCACTCCGCGTTCTCTCGCTTTATCCTGAGGCAAAGCCGAGATGCAAGCTTCTTGGATGCCGCTCGGTCGCACTTGATTTCGAAGTACCTCGGTCTCGTACGATTAAGAGGTTCCACTGTCTACAGAGGAAGCGCCTTGTCGAAATGA